CGTGGCGCGGGGCCCCGCCCCCCCCCCCCCGGCCCCGCGAGCCCCCGATCCCGTAGCTCTGGGCAAAGAGGTTGGCGGCCGCCATGACGTAGTCCAGGTGGAGGGGCTGCAAGGGGGCACCCATGGGTGTCGGGGGGGCACCCGTGGGTGGGTGGGGGTGATGGGCACCACCCAGTGATGACTGATGGCCCCCAAGGGTGATGGGATGGCACCTAAGGGTCATGGGATGGCACCCAAGGGTGATGACCACCACCCAACAATGACTGATGGCACCCAAGGGCCATGGCCACCACCCAATGATGACTGATGGCACCCAAGGGTGATGGGATGGCACCTAAGGGTCATGGGATGGCACCCAAGAGTGACGGGATAGCACCCAAGGGTCATGGCCATCACCCAGTGATGACTGATGGCACCCAAGGGTGATGGATGGCACCTAAGGGTCATGGAGACCACTCAAGGGTCATGGGATGGCACCCAAGGGTTGTGGGATGGCACCCAAGGGTGACGGACGCCACCCGAGGGTGATGCCCACCACCCAACGATGATGGATGTCACCCAAAGGTGATGGATGTCACCCAAAGGTGATGCCACCACCCAACGATGATGGGGGGCACCCAAGGGTGATGCCACCACCCAACGATGACCAATGACACCCAACAATGACTGATGGCACCCAAGGTCAACCAATGGCACCCAAGGGTGATGCCACCACCCAACGATGACCGACAGCACCCAAGGGTGACGGGCGACGCCCAAGGGTGCCGGTGGGACTCACGTTGTCAGGGTCGAAGACGAGGGGGTGGGGGCAGCGCTTGGGCCCCGACCAGAAGAGGGTCCCCGAGTTCGTCTTCTGCGGGGGGAGAGCGGCCGTTAACGAGGCTAACGAGGCATCAATTAGGGCTAACGAGGCCTTAATTAGAGGCTAATGGGGCATTAGAGGCTAACGGGGCATTAATTAGGGCTAATGAGGTCTTCATTTGGGTTAACGAGGCCTTAATTAGGGCTAACGAGGCCTTCATTGGGGCTAACGAGGCATCAATTAGGGCTAACGAGGCATTAATTAGGAGCTAACGAGGCCTTCATTGGGGCTAACGAGGCATTAATTAGGGGCTAACAAAGCATTAATTGGGGCTAACGAGGCCGTTAATCCAGGGCTAATGACACCGTTAATTAGGGGCAATTAGGGGCTAACGAGGCCTCCACTGGGGCTAATGGGGCGTTAATTGGGGGCTAATGGGGTTTTAATTGGGGCATTAGAGGCCGTTAATTAGGAGCCCGATCCCCCCTCCCCCTCCCTCCCA